ATGTGACCAGCTAAGTCAATCACTATATACCAGACAGGATTGATTTACGGACCTCATCAGCTCTGATGAAACACACAATAGTCTTCATCACGAAACTCAGGGAATGGAATGATGGCAGTTTCATTTTTATTGAACAAATTGTGCAACTAAAAGCCTGAGACACGTCGGTCTGCTTGAGTATAACCAGAAGGGGTTGTTTGCTTTTTGTTGTTTTTTCAGTCAAGTTAGTTTGTTTTGAACATATAGTAAAACAATAAGACTAGTTCTGAAACTGATGAACTGATTGCATTAAAACATGCAGGGTATTCAGTGTTTCATATTCCTATTGTTCATTTATAATTCTATTTCTACTGTTCATTTATAAATACATTCTTTCTTGAAAAACTTAGGTACAAAAATAACTGTTTCTAAACAGCAAATAAATATTAAAAGAAAGCATTGTAAGAAAGCATTTCCTCTGATCCACTGGACTAAACAAGAACAGGATTCCCACAGCGTTTGCTCAAATGAACTAGAATGAGAATGGGCAGCATCTATTTCCTAAAGTGCCCTAAACTTCTCTTGTTTTCATAAAGCAGCATCAGTCCTCAGCCCCTCATTAGAAAAGAAACCAAGTATGAAGTGCAGTATATATGAAAGAATGTTGGCATGAATGTAAAGTCTCACACAGAACGCCTGGTGAAGAGTCTCAGTCTGTTGTGTTTAGAGCTTCAGAGCAGCATGTATTTTAATTAAAAGACACCTGCAAAGAAAGTAAAGGATATTATTGTAAAAGTTACATTGAATTGGAATAAGGGTTGAATGATGCCATCAGGATGTTCTTCACGAACACTGGAGGTGAGATCATGAAAACAGGCTCCAGCAGTGTAACAGTAAACATGATTAAACCAGATTAAGCAGAGATCATTTCACATGCATGCTGCTGCTGCTTCATGGCAAACTTTGTTACCAGATCTGTTACATGTGCAGTTTCCATTCATACAGTTGATGTATTTTCTCTTTTGAAAATTTTGGTGCACAACTGTTATTAATATAGTGTACACATCATAGAAACTAGAGATGCACTGATATTGTATTGATTTGAAATGGTCCCTCGTTTACTGATTTGTTCTCAGAATGCTCTTGCTCAAATATCCCGTGCGTGTTCATAGTGTCAGAGCAACTCCAGTGACAGAACGCATCAGTATTTCAACATGAATGGTTATTCTTCTTTAGAGCTGTTCAGAGCAGGCGTCCCATTATTACCATGTGCAGTTCTACTGATGGGTGGCTGTTTGCAGTCCTGCACATAGTGAGCGCGTCTGAATGTCAGCTGGTCTGTTGACTGACTGTCCATATCTGTTCACAGAGAGACAGAACAAAAACCAACTCAAAAACATCCACATTGTCCACAGAGCGTCCACTCACAAAACCACCTGTCCCTTTCTCATTGTCACTGTCCAAACTTTCTCTCTGTCATCACAAGGACTTGAGGAGAAACCCACAGATGAAATAGACGTCAGGACACTCTGAACACCAAACGCTGAAGGAATCGCACGCAGTGTTATGGTAACCCTAACCCCAGCCCTAATGTGTTGTACTGCTTCATTCAATCCCAGAAGAAATCATGGCATCAGATCTTGTACCTGGTTTTTGGGACTTTTCATTGCAGGCTTCTTTCAGTGACTCTGTTGACACACCGACACAGGACAGAAAGTCCTTTCAAAGCACAAGAAAACAGGGAATATGTCACAGCACAAACCTCCATCCTGACACATGCTCTCTGTACAGCATACCCGCACAGCAAATGCAATTTTACAACAAAATGTAAAATATATTTTAAAATTCAAGACGCAGCACATTGGAAGATTTTTCATGATCTTCAATACTCTGACATACGGGTGATTTTTTTTTCCAGAATAAACATAACAGCAATTCTTACAAAGTTGAATAAATAAAAATGTTTCTGTAATTTTGGTGTGTTAAATAAAGGTCAAGATAGCTTCTCTGTAATTGTTCAGGATAAGAAATAAAATCTAGCTTTAACAAAATTATTTACGTACTGAACCACAGTTGTATTCACCAATTAATTGATTCAAATGCAATATTTACATACATATTCAATTGAAACGTTTCAATGGATGTAAAATGCCACACAGTGAACACTTCATTTCTCCACACATATTAATCACTAGCGCGCTTTTTATTAACACCTCAATGAAACGGGAGGATCCTGATCTTATACGTTTTACATTTTAAACCAAACGCAACATTGTTTCTATTATTGTATACTTATATAGTGACAAAGTAACACTGATTTAGCTGCCTTTGGTTGCCGTGGTTACAAACAACATCAGAATCACGCGCATCTAATGCAGGCGTCATCTCTAGTGCGCTTATAACGCGTCACGTGACGTTATGCTGCGTGATGTTCCTCTCGCTCGACTTCTCTGCACTATGTATCGTTTTTATTGTCGTCGTGAGGTTACATTTCAACAGACTGAAAATGATAGCTTTTTATTATACTTCAGACAGGTAAAACTAACCCGAGAGAGCGTTCAGACAGGTAAAACTAACCCGAGA